AGCCACCGGGAGAGGCTGTCACAAGGGCACCGCTCTCTTCTCATCTGGGCCCGGAGGGCTGGATGCCTTATCTGTCAGAGGCTAGGCGTGCCCGTCCTTACAGCCCGTTGAACAGTGATATTTTACTCAAGTAATGTTTCATCCAAAAATAACAACCATTTTGACGGTTAGCTTGCAGCCAAATGTCCAGGTGGTTTAGTTTCATTTGGACACACTGTAAAATGAATGCTAAGCGCGCTCAGAACAGCCTAGGGAATTAGGGTCTTTTGTCTCCAGAAATGCGAGGATGTATGGCTTTGTATCCTTCACACGCTAGGCCCTGATTTGAATAGCAAGTGTCAAGGGCCCATGCAACCTCGCGTGGGCCTTATGTTAAACCTTCACAAGAATTAAGAGCGTTGGCTGTGAGCTCCTTAAGATAATCAGCCTAGGACTTCAGCAGAATCCAGCAAATCAGCTACTGGCCTCCCAGTCCTGTGCTGATATCCACTGGGCAGGAAGCTTCTCTAGGACAGGACTGTTTCACTCAGCAGAGTGTCCCTCAGCACCTCGGATGGGGCTTGGTCTGTGAAGGTTGTTGACTGAGAATCACTGTTGACTTGAGACTTGGCTGGGAAAGAGGAAATGGCATGTTTGCTGAGTGCTTACTTGGTTCCAGACACCGTTTTAGTCACTTCATAGAGGCAGTCTCATTTGTCTTCACAACAGCCCTAAAACAAAGGGATTAAATAAATTGTCCAAGACTGTCTACCCATAAGTGGCATAAATGAGATTTGAACCCATGTTTATCTGATTCTGGATAAATTAGGATTAGATCAGCTTCATTTGCCAGAAAATCTCAACATAGAGTGCTTTATACGACAGAGGTTTATTTCTTGCAATTGTGTTATAGAAGTCTGGGGTTGGGCAGTCCAAAGCTGGTAGGGTCTCTCCACAGAGTTGTTAGGTACTCGGACACCTTTCAGCTCTACAGAGTGTGAATCTCATCTTTATGGTACAAGGTGGCTGCTAGAGCTCCATCCATCACATGAAGTACCAAGCAGCAAGGATGGAGGAAGAGAAAATGGCATGATCTGTCACAAAAAGATTTTCCCATACCTCTTACACAACATTTCTGCTTACCTCCCATGGGCCTGAACTTTGTCATGTGGCTACACTCAGCTCCAACTGCACTGAAGGATGGGGATGGCTATTTTAGCTGAGCAACAATATGACCAGCTAAAAATCAGGATGTTACTCCTGAGGATGAAGAAAAATATGTGTTGAGGAAGACATTAGCACAGACTCCAAACAGCATTTTATTTCTTTCTCTTTGGTTCATGAACATTTTCCTTCAATTGTACTTCATAGTTCATGTCTGAATCTCTCACTCAAGTTAGAGGCCATTTCAAAAACCAGGATACGACTAGAGGAATACCCAAAATTGGTGTAAATGTAACTTCCTATGTATAGATATTTGGTAATTTTGGTTGCTTTAGTGAATTTACCTTTCCAGGATTTAAACCCACCATCAGTGTTCTAACAACTACCCAGAAGGAACTCTTATACACTGTTGGTGGGAATGTAAGTTAGTACAGCCATTATGGAAAATAGTATGGAGGTTTCTCAGAAAACTATAAAAATAGAACCACCATACAATCCAGCCATCCCACTACTGGGTATTTATCCAAAGGAAGGAAAATCATTATATTACAGGGATGCCTGCACCAACATGCTTATTGCAATACTATTCACGATTGCCAAGATATGGAATCAACCTAAGTGCCCATCAACAAATGAATGGATGAAGAAAATGTGGTACATACACCAATGGACTACTATTCAGCCATAATAATGAAATCCTGTCATTTGCAGCAAAATGGATGAAACTGGAGGCCATTATGTTGAGTGAAAAAAGCCAGGAACAGAAAGACAAATATCACATGCACTCATTCATATGTCAGAGCTAAAATAAAAAAAAAAAATTGATCTCATGGAGGGAGAGAGTAGAACGATAGTAGAGGCTGGGAAGGGTGGGCAGGGGATGAAGAGAGGTTGGTTAATTGGTACAAACATATAGTTAGACATAAGGACTAAGTCCTAGTGTTTGATACCACACCAGGGTGACTATGGTTAACCATAATATATTGTGTATTTCAAAATAGCTAGAAGAGATTTCAGATGTTCACAACACAAAGAAATGATCAATGTTTGAGGTGATGGATACCTTAAATACCATGATTTGATCATTACCCATTGTATGCATGTATCAAAATACCACATGTAACCCACAAATATACATAATTATTAGGTATCAGTAAAAATTGTAATTACCCAGAAGGACCTATGTTCTTTTTTCATGCTTGCCTTGACACAACTACACAGGTTCCTTCATACTACTTGTAGTTTCACTTGCAAACGCTCTAGCTTTTGAATTTGCAGGTATACCACCAGCTCTGCCAGAGTGAAGGGGGTGAAACCCCAAAAGAAGGGAGGTCACATCAGCTTTTGATTACTGAGTCAGTGACAAAGTGGGACCAGGAGAGCTGCTGAACTCAAATTCTCAAGGGTAGAGTGTGCAGCACTCAGTCTTGTGGGAGCTCAACTTGTCTCTTGCGCAGTGCACAGGAGGTCTGGGAGTGGTCTGTCAGCCCACTTCTAAGCAACGTGGTTTGCAGCTCCTTGGCGACTTCTTCCCCGCCTCCACCTCCCGTCAGTGGAGTTGTAGCCTTATGTGGGATCACAGAGCTGGCATCTAGTCCAAATATTTCTTATTTGAGCGTTCATGGATAGATTCCAGAGTGTGTCATCACCATAGCTGGGTGGAAAATGTACACGTACCACAAATTCCTACTCTCCACATGTGTGAGATTCTTAACTCTGTTCTCATTTTACGGATAGATACCTTCCATCCGGAGAAGTGAAGGGACTTGCCCGCCACCATGCACATCCTGCGGCTCTTCCTGGCCATCTGGAGAGCCAGTAGGCCAGAAGGCATCAGCAGCTCCAAGCCCAGTGCCCTCCCCCATGGCAGTGGCCCATCCTGGACCTCTCTGCTGCGTCAGCGATGGAAGCAACTACTGTGTGTGTGTCTCCATCTGGCCCAGTTCATGAAGCCAGTGGAGGAGCATACAGCTTCCCAGCCCCTTCAGGCAGCCCTTTTCCTAGCAGTAGGAGGGGGGATGTTACGAGGAGGAAAGCAGTTGAGGCTCCCAGAGTTGGGATCCTTGTTCCCACTCCTGTATTTCTTAAAGAACGTTTTAGCTCTCAACGTATTTTATCCTTCTCAGCAGAGGTGAGGTGGCAAATCTTCTAAGACTGGGTATGATAGTGCAGCGTGTCACAGTGTCTGATGCCGAAGTAAAGTCCCAGGTTGACAGTTCAGAGGCTGAGGGCGCAACCCAGCTGTGAAAGGGAGTGAATTTGGTCCCTTTCCACCACACTGGAGACAAAACAGTTTCAAAAATATTATACTGTGGGAACACTGGTATTTGTGCTGAGAAATCATCACACACAACCTTATATCTGAAACCCAAAGTGACCTTTTCGGAGCGGCGCTGGCACTACATGAGAAGGCAAATACTGCCAGATTGCCTGACATTTTCTTTTTTAAATTTCAAGCATTCCTGGTTTCAGATCGGCTGTTGATCTGTTGATTTGCAGCTCTAATGCAACTAAGTCAGGTCCCAGTCACTGCTATTACAGTCTAACAAAAACTCCTGCTTTGAAACCCCACTCCCCACCCTGTGTCTCCTCCTCCTCTCCTCGCTCCCCACCCCCCACCCTCACCTCCATGCCTGCCAGCCACATGCAGTGTGTGCAGGGGCAGGTTGCAGACAAGAGCATTTTTCCAAACCTGCAATGAAAATCTTCAAAGTTGAATTGTGTACCACTGTCCTGTGTCCACCTTTAAAGATCTATCTCATTTGCTCACTTTGTACTTTAAATCCTTCTTGACAAAAGCTACAGAAAGCCTATAAAGGGGGGAGGGGCTCGTTCTACTTTTGTCACTCACTCAAATGTAATATGGAATTCAGTGAGGGGATGGTCTGGGCTCCACCTGGAGTGGGGTGGGGCAGACGAGAACTGGGGGCGCAGAGAGGAGGTTTTGGGGCATTGCCCTGGGGCCAGTGCGCTGGTCTCAGAAACAGTCCCATCAATCGTCCTGAAGCCACGTGTGTGGTAGGTGTGTGTGCAGCTGAAACTCAGTCTTCGGAACCTGAAAGTAGAGCAGGTTGAGATCCTATAAGTGCATGGGGCCCCCTGTCAATTGGTTGAAGAACATTCTATTCAACTCTAGTTAATCCAAGAGACTTGGCTGGGGAAAGGTATCTAGGTGGATTCTTGGTTTGTCTTTTCCTGGCATCATTTATCAGAGTTCTGGTTCTTTCCCTGAGAGCGGGCTGCTAGCACATAAGAAGCATCTGTCTGGACAGTGCAGTCTGCTGGGGGCAGTGAGGAAGGAGGAACTGGCAAGAAAATAAATGGAAACCACCTAAAAAAGGAGCCCTCCCACTTTTTTCTTAACGCTCAGCTCCTCTCCATTGGTCTGTCATACATGCAGCAGTTTGGGCGACTGAATTGCAAAAAATATCGAATTGCCCCTTCAGCTTTCGTATCTTCCAAAGGCAAAAGGTAATGTGGTTCTGCCTTTTTTTTTTTTTTTTTTTTTTTTTGCCTGTTGACAGCCAGGCCAGCTGCGCTCTAGCTCTCAAGATTTTCCTCACTAACTCAAGGAAAGTCATCGGAAGAAGGAGTTTTGCTGTCTGGCCTGATTATACCGTCCCAAATTAGGTCCCACTGCCCACACATAGCATTTAGGGTGACCATATAACCCAGCTTGCCTGCAACACACCTGATTTATGTCTGTCGTCCCCTGAGATTAATAGCACTTTTGTTCTCGGAAGTGTCCCCTTTTGGATGATAGGGCTTTTTATTTGGTTGTGCTAGTTACAGGGAAGGAAGGGGAGGAAATGAATCTCTCCAGCAGTGTAACCTTGTGTTCCTTTCTGTCACCGCAGCTCCATTCGGCAGCCCTGGCATCACTGAAGGGAGACATAGCAGAGCTCAACAAACGTCTGCAGCAAACAGAGCGGGAACGGGACCTTCTGGAAAAGAAATTGGCCAAGGCACATGTAAGGGATGTAGAAATGGTTTTTTGTTAAGTTTTTATTTTAAGATAAAATGTGGATATAGAAATTCCAGCAAAACAAATCACAGCTTAATGAGCAAACTCTCTGTCTTGGTCTTCTCTGGCTATTGTAACAAATAACCATAGACTGGGTGAGTTAAACAACAAATTTATTTCTCACAGTTCTGGAGGCTGGGAAGCCCAAGGTCAAGGTGCACGCTGATTGGGTGCTTGGCTTGCCGATGACCACCTTCTCGCGTGTTGGAGCAAGGTCATCGCTCTCATTCTCTGTTTCTAAGGGCACTAATCCCATTCGTGAAGGCTCCACCCTCACAGCCTGATTATCTCCCAAAGGCCCCACCTCCAAACACCATCACACTGGGGGCTTAGGTGTCAGCCTGTGAATTCTCGGGGGGCACAAACGTTCCGTTTATAGCACATTTACGTAACCACTGCCCAAGAAATAGAATTGACCAGTCACTTGTCCGTGTGTCCCATCCCAGTCTCCACATTTTCTCTTCCACAAAGGTGACCACTAATCCGACCTTTATAGTAGTTTATCACTCAAGTTTGCATCTCCAGACAGTGGAGTTTTAGTCTTGCCCATTTAAAAAATGTGTTTCCTTTATATTTCTTAATCTGTAGATTTTCCCTCCATTCTCTGTCTGCTTTTTAATTTGTCAGTTAAACCTGGCCGTTTGACTCAGTTTCCCACAGTCTGGGTGTTGGTAATTGCACACTTACGGTGCAGGTCACCTTGTCTCTCTGTTCCCTGTATTTCCTGCAAACTGGCAGCTGGATCCAGAGGCTCAGTCAGATTCATGTTCAATCCCTTTGGCAGGACTATAAAAGGGTATCATTTTTTTTAACCAGGAGGCACAAAATGCCTGGTTGTTTATATTTCTGTGATTTTACCAGCTGTTGATACTCAATGCCTAGGTTTATTACTTAGTTAGGACTTAGTTAAAAAAATCATATTTTAGTTCTATTTTTCACCTGTTAATTAGAATGCCTTTAGAGAGACATTTCCCATAACCTACTATTTGTTGAAACATGGTATATTTTACAGAGGAAAAGCAGAATAAACACTTGAGTCTTCCCATTTATTTAACATTTTTGAAGATAATGAATTGATTCCCTGTGATCCTCTGAATGTGCCCACTTCTTTTTTAGAAATATTATTATGAATTTATATATTTAAACATATTTGAATTTCAATCCATCATAATTATTTTTATGTAGAAACTCAAACTGTACTATGTTTAGCCAGTAAGAGCCTCGTCAGTTTAGCTCCTGATTCTTTTAACACGAGCCTAGTAGTTGTTATTCCAGACTCCGGTAGTGCATTTCTTACCCCAAACCTGGAATTAACATTCTCTCCGCGGGAAATGCTATTTCAAGACCACAATCTGGGTCCTAAAGGATGCTTATTGCTTATAAGTTTCCCACTGATTTTAGGCCTATTTTGTAGACAGACCCAGGAAATTATTTACTTATGTACATAGGTATGTATATATACAACTGAAGATGATAAAATACCTTAGGAATCTATACTATACCCGCCATTCAAGTTCAGACTACAGGCTATTTTTACTTCTGTATTTTATCTGTATCTCCTTTCTTTCACACTAAGAATCCTGATTCTTAAGGTTATAGGGGATCATAGAATATTGCATAATTACTCATTTGCTTTGTTCCACATTATATACACACAGTCTCAGAATAATAGTATTAATACTACCATAACCAATATAGTTACTGAGAAGAGTTTTAAAAATTCTTTTTCCTTTATGCTCTTTTTCTCCCAATTTTTTGCCGATGTGCTGTTATCAATGCTGCCTGTCCATATAGCCATTGGATCGTGCGCTCTGTCCCTTTTAGCCATCGTTTACTCCTCCACAAGTGACTATAGGTTTAATGTTCTCCATGGCTCTTATGTCAATGTCCCTCCATTTTTAACTAATTAATTTTTGGTTTTGCCTACATCTTATTTTCTAGTAGATTCCTCAGAATGGACTCATGGGAATAATATCCCCAAAGTTCTTGCATGTTAATAACAATGCGTACGTGCCCTTCATACTTGAAAGGCATTTTGCTGGATATAAAATGCTTGGCTCATCTTTTAGTTCCTTGGATATATTGCTTTATTTTCTTCTGGCAGAGACTGTTGCTGTCAAAGTCTGATGATACTCTTTCTTTCCCTTATAACACGCTTGATTACTTTAGATATTTAAGGGATTTTCCTTCCTTCCTTCCTTTCTTTTCATTTCTTTTCTTGCTTTCCTTTTTTCTTTCTTTCTGGCAATTTTAATAGAGTAAGTCTTAATTATTCTAGTTTGATATTCTCAGGTTTGCTGTATATTCTTTTAATTATAGTTTGAAATCTCTTTTTTAATTTGGGGGAAGATTTTTTTAAATCACATTGTTTAATATTAGTTTTTTTCCCCTGGTTTTGTTTTTTCAGGGACTTCCGTTATTTGTATATTTGATCTTCTTTGCCTATCAAAGATGTCACCATCTTAAATCCTTTATATCTCTCCCTTTTAAAATTTTTTTTGTTCTCCATCTTCTGTTTCTCGTGAGATACTATATGTTGTTTTTATTCTGTCTTTTGTGCCTTCTAGTTTAGTCTTCATTTCTGAAATGCATTTTCATTTTATTTCTAATTTTTTTTTATGTTCTGTCATCTCACTTCTGAAAATTTCTAATTCCTAATTATGTCCTTTTATGCAAGAAAAAATAACAATGAAATGACTGTGCTGTGCTTTCCGTGTTATACACCTTGGTAAATGATTTATGTTTGAGGCTTTACTAGATTATGGAACAGCAAATTCATGTGTAAATTTATGCTCTGTGGCTATAGTAAGTTTTACCAGCTCTCTAAATATTATAGTGCTATGATTAAACTGAAGTGTAAAATGTAAATGGTGGTTATGTTCATCACACACTAACAAAAGAGGTTCAACATCTTCTGAATAATTAATGGTGACACTGGAACTGGTTGAATGGAAGAAGGTTCATTACACATGGTAATGAGTTCAACCTGTAGGTAGAGTTTTGAGAATAGTGATAAGAAGGGAAAAGCCCAATATCGGTATGATAGGGAAGACAAAGTACAGTACGTCTGTACTGATTTTTCTATTGCTGTGTAATAAACTGTCATAAACGTACTGGCCGAAAACAACATATCCCTATTCTCCCAAGCTGGACAGGTACGCAGACATGTACATGCATTTGTGCCCACATACAACAGCCCGGTGGGGACCAAGCTTGTGGGAAACTGGCTAAGATCATGTAGAATCCTGATTTGATGCGTTCAGCATATTTGCTATTTATTTAGTCCCAATAATTATTTTAAATTAAATTACTGCATTTTTAAATACTACAGAAGGAGACATATCAAAGAAGTTTACGAGCCCTTTGAAATTGGCAAGCAGTAATATGGAACACTTTCTGTTTCTGAGCTCTCTGTCTTTGGAAAGCAAGTCTCCTGAATTTTCTACCTGTCTGCTTTCAGGGAGAGAACCTACATGGTGTTCATTAAATGAAATGGAGAGTGTTTTCTTTTATCTTTCTCTTGTCTTCTGAGATAGCTTAACGATGCAGTTTGCATGCATTTTCTTTGTCAGGGTCGCCCCACTGCATTCCTTTCCTACTTGTGTCTACTCTTTAGTAAACTGCCCTCACTGCTTGCTCCATAGTGGCATTTCCATTTGTGCTTATGCCTCTTTGTTTAGCTGACTTGCCCCCCCTTTCTCTTTAGGGGGGCACCTGGTAAGAATTTAGAGTCAGAGTGGAAATACCCTAAGTAGGATTAGTTGTAACCAATCCAGTGTGACCCCGAGAAAGTGACTTCACTGTTAGCATACTTTAAAAGGGAGTCGTACTGACCCCCTGCACAGGATGGCGAGAGGGTTAACAAATTAACGATGGCATTGCATTTTTCCAGAATCCAGTTCATAATGCTCTTAGGTTTGACAGCTGAGACTAATGCGATGATGAAAGATCCATGGCCTCTGTGGAGTAAGATAAAACCCAGTGAAGAACATTAACAAAACCATAAAGCGCCTTAGTATGACCACATCGCACAGGGTTTTTCCAGCAAGGGCTCACATTCTCAGACCAGTCTGTCTCGAGGCTGACTCATAGCTTTATCCCTGGATTGCATCCATAGCAGGGATAAGCCTAAAGGATTTTATTCTCAGTGGTTGAAATGATGATGTTGCTTGTTTTTACTAAACATTTTTGCATATAGGCAATTTCACCAATTTATGTGGGTAGACACAAGTATTTGTATAGATTTTTTTTTTTTTTTTTTGAGACAGAGTCTCACTCTTTTGCCCGGGCTAGAGTGCCGTGGCGTCAGCCTAGCTCACAGCAACCTCAAACTCCTGGGCTCAACCGATCCTACTGGCTCAGCCTCCCGAGTAGCTGGGACTACAGGCATGCGCCACCATGCCCTGCTAATCTTTTATATATATTTTTAGTTGTCCAGATAATTTCTTTCTATTTTTAGTAGAGACGGGGTCTCGCTCTTGCTCAGGCTGGTTTCAAACTCCTGAGCTCAAACAATCCGCCTGCCTTGGCCTCCCAGAGTGCTAGGATTACAGGCGTGAGCCACCGCGCCTGGCCAGTATAGAGTTTTAATTTGCTTCATCATCATGATAGGAGAGCTAAGATCTTGAGAAGAAACTCAGGCTATCTGTTAAGTGCCAGATGAAATTCAGGAAAAACAAAATTTCATCATATCCCATCTCAATCTTTTTTTTTTTTTCTTTCTTCTTTTCCTTTCAAACTGAGAGTCTGTAGTTGCAGGAGAAGGTTAGACTCGTAATGATATTGACCTCCAGAAATTCATGGTGGACAAGACATTGCAACCACAGGCTTTCTGGCTTTGTTGCCCTGTAGAATCCGTCAAAAACTGAATATAGGTTAGGAGGAGGGAGAACCCTGGAGGCAATTACCTGTTATAATAGAAAAAAAGCAGTAGCATGGTGTTTGAGA